TAACAATTTTTATACGTTTATTTTAAAACACAAAGCGATGAATTATCTCACAAGCAATATCTGAAAATGCGGAAATTCGATTGAAAACGAACACTAGGGAATACCCAATAAAACTGAAGAATGTCAGTTCCACCATGGGAAAATTCAATATTGATCGCCTTACATGTCTACCACAAAAAAAAACAGTGTACATAATTGCGTGTTACAACAAACTGCGTTAGCAACGGTAAAGGAACACAGAATTTATGGGTGATAATGTATACGAGTGTTACGCTGACGGATCCGTACAGATACAAAGCTGGTTGTACTTGCGCTGTATAGAGAATGGCTTACTACAACATCAAGTTAATATGAGAGTGCAAAATTAGGCCAGCACTACACAAACGGAGTTGGCAGGTATAATTCTTTCAAAGCAGGTGATGAGGAAATTGTGAAATGCATTTAGCGTAACGTAACTTATACAATAGAGCGCTATTTCAATATTCAACTTAAATGTATACCATCTCATGTTGGCATACGCAAGCACGACCACATAGACAAATTGGAAGCATAAATCCTGGGATGCCTCTTGCTATGGTTGCACATATAATGAAAATTTCTCATGAGGAAGAACTAGTAGATCTGACAAACACTCAGAAGCCTGAAAGCTATACCATAAGGCCCTACGATAAGTATAGAGATAGCAAGCCTTCCTTTGCGTGGCACCAAACCAGACAATGTGACGTGTTTATTGCCAGAATACGTTTAGGTTACAAAAAGTGCTGGCAACTGCACGGTGCAAGAAGTGCAGATTAATCTAGATGTAGACTGTCGAACGAAGAAAATAAGCGAATGCTTGGGCACTGTATCTCCGAATGTCATGTGATACAGCCTTTCAGACCACCTAACATGAGTTATAAAGAATATGTGAATACTTCATTTCATCTGATACATTGGAAGATATACTCGTACTATATCCTAGGTTTACTATGTAAAACTGCCGTACACCAGCAGTGTTATGTAAACACAGTGGCAAAAGCATATCAATGTAATATTTTTATGCATGATGTATGATTTATATTTTCATTTTACCGTGAACAATAACAGTATACTGTACTGTGTCAAATATATGTAAAACTGTAATCCCGATTGCCCACGCCTGAACAGATAGACATGGTGGTAAGTAAACTTAACTGACTTAATTAATTAAGAGAGGGTTTGGAATATGCTTTGAAAACGAGCCTTGAGCATATTTTCATCGCTTCTCAATGAAAAACTTTCGCGATATATGAAGAACGAAGCGTAATCTAGAGGATCGATATAAATCTGCAGAAACGGACTTTTATAATTTAATTTGTTCATCATTTCGTCATTATTCTTTTCTTTTTATTGTGATACAACCACTTATATATACAAAAACTATTAAAATGGAATCAGAAGAAATTACAAAGAAAAAGTTTATTACTGTATTCCAAAAGCCTTCTAATTAAATTGCCGTATACTAATATACTAATATCATATTTCCGCCTGGGAAATTATGATAGTGAGGAAAAAAAAGATGAATACTTAAGATCATGAATGGTAAAACACTCTTTCGTGTTGATACTATGTTAGAAAAACCCACCATGCAAAAACGAGAATAATTGAACTTTCAATAAAGCTCGTTTCTGCATGGTGTCTTTTTTTCTAACATATCATATTTAATATTAAATCCCCGCCTGGGATACTGTGAAAAAAACAACAACCTGCTCGCTCCTCATCGTATACCGAACACACTGAGTCATTCACAAAGATTTGACTTACACGGTTATACAAGTAACGTAAGCTCTTAATCATGCATACAAGGCAGATGGTTAATGGTATTCGTATGCTTTGGTTAAACGAAAACTGAACTAATAAACAATTAAGATAACGAAAAATGCGTAAAACATAGCAGTAGTGTGCAAATTTGTATTTTTTTCAGCGGTGTATTACACATATGGAATTGTGAAATTTACGACATAAAAAGAAGATAGAATGGGGTGAGAGTGTCAGAGAGAAAGAAAAAGATAAAAAGAGAAAGAGACAAAGAAAGAAAGAAAGAAAGAAAGAAAGAGAGAAAGAGAGAGAGAAAGAAATAAAGAAAGGAAATAAAGAAAAAGAGAAAGAGAAATTGAGGAAATATCAATATGCTCGCTTTTATCCTTGACAGGCGCTGCATCAGGAACTTATGTGAAGTCTCAGTTGTTCATTCCAAACACTGGATTCTGGACAGTGGTCGTGGCCTGCTTGTAAAGCGGGTTTTCATTCTGTTGACGAAAGTGAAAAGTTTATGTAGAAAAGGCGTGAATGAAAATGAATATCTTCACAATACAAGAGAATTTCATGTATAATAGCACACCATGACACTTTGCCATTGAAGGCAAAGAAAAGAAGAAAAAGATGACAGGGAAAAAGAAAAGTAACAAACACAAGAGGAAGAAAAGGAAACGGTAAAGGGAAGAGAAAAAGAAAGAAAGAAAGAAAAAAGAAAAAAAAGAAGAGAGAAAGAAAGAAAGAAAAAAAGGGACGAAAAAAAAGAATAAGAGAAAAGATGAGAAAAAGAAAGAATACAGAAAAAAAGGAACACGAAGGAAATTATTAAGGAGAAAAAAAAACGAATATTAATAACAGGGAAATAAAAAAAAACACATAAGGAAGCAAAAGAAAACAAAAGAAAGAGGATAAAGAAAAGCAAAAGAAAGAGAATAAGCCAAAGAAAAACTAAAGAAAGAAAATAAACAAAAGAAAAGCAAAGGAGAGAGAATAAAGAAAAAAAAACAGAGAACAAACAAAAAAAGCAAAAGAAAGAAAATAAAAGAAACGCAAAAGAAAAAAAAAAAACTAACGAAAGAAAAGGGACAAAAAAAAGAAAGTAAACAAAAGAAAATAAAAGAAAGCCAAAAGAAAAACATAAAGAAAAGAAAAGCAAAAATAAAGGCTAAAGAAAGAAAATAAAATAAAAGCAAAAGAAAGAAAATAAACAAAAGCAAAGCAAAAGAAAAAAATAAGCAAAGGAAAAGCAAAAGAAGGAAATGAAATAAAAAGAAAAGAAAAGGAATAAGAACAAATAAGCAAAAGAAAGAAAATAAAAAAAAACAAAAGAACGAAAAGAAAAGGAAAGAAAATAAAAGAAAAGCAAAGGAAAGAAAAGAAAAGAGAAGCAAAGGAAAAAATAAAAGAAAAGAAAAAGCTAAACAAAAAAAGCAAAACAGAAAGAATCTAAACAACTAAACAAAGTTCACATCACTCATATTGGGCCACTTCTTAACAACAACAAAAAACATTAAGAAAAGCACAAAAAAATAAACAAAACAAACAAAATAAATAGCAAAAGAAACAAAAGAAAGAAACCAAACAAAATAAACAACAAAAGAAGAAAACTAAACAATATAAGCAACAAAAGAAACTAAACAAGAAAATAAAGAAACCAAAAATATAAACAACAAAAGAAACTAATAAAAACAATAAAGGATATAAACTAAACAAAATAAACAAGAAAATAAAAAACAAAATAAACAAGAAAAGATAGAAACCAAACAAAATAAACAAGACAATAAAGCAAACAAAATAAATAAGAAAAAAACAAACAAAATAAATAAGAAAAGATAGAAACCAAACAAAATAAACAAGAGAGAAACCAAACAAAATAAACAAGATAAGAAAAATAAACAATAGAATATACAAACCAAACAAAATAAGCAAGAAAAGAGATAAATCAAACAAAATAAACAAGAAAAGAGATAAACCAAACAAAATAAACAAGAAAAGAGGGAAACCAAACAAAAAAACAAGAAAATCAAGAAACCAAACAAAACAAACAAGAAAAGATAAACAAAATAAACAAGGCAAGATAAGCCAAACAAAATAAACAAGTAAAGTAAGAAACCAAACAAAATAAACAAGAAAAGAAAGAAACCAAACAAAATAAACAAGAAAAGAAAGAAACCAACCAAAATAAACAAGAAAAGAGAGAAACCAAACCAAATAAACAAGAAACCAAAGAAACCAAACAAAATAAACAAGAAAAGAAAGAAACCAAACAAAATAAACAAGAAAAGAAAGAAACCAAACAAAATAAACAAGAAACCAAAGAAACCTAACAAAATGAACAAGAAACTAAAGAAACCAAACGAAATAAACAAGAAAATAAAGAAACCAAACGAAATAAACAAGAAAATAAAGAAACCAAACGAAATAAACAAGAAAAGAAAGAAAACAAACGAAATAAACAAGAAAAGGAAGAAACCAAACGAAATAAACAAGAAAAGAAAGAAAACAAACGAAATAAACAAGAAAAGAAAGAAAACAAACGAAATAAACAAGAAAAGAAAGAAACCAAACAAAATAAACAAGAAAAGAAAGAAAACAAACAAAATAAACAAGAAAAGAGATAGACCAAACAAAACAACAAAGAAAAGAGAGAAACCAAACAAATAAACAAAAAAGTAACCAAACAAAATAAACAAGAAAAGAAGCCAATGAAAATAAACAGCAAAATAAAGAAAATAAACAAGACAAACAACAACAAAGAAACCAAACAAATAAACAACAAAAGAAAGAAACTAAACAAAACAAACAACAAAGAAACCAAACAAGTAAACAGCAAAAGAAAGAAAATACACAAGAAAACAACAACAAAGAAACCAAACAAATAAACAACAAAAGAAAGAAACCAAACAAAACAAACAACCACAAAGAAACCAAACAAATAAACAACAAATGAATCTAAGCAAGATAAACAACAACAAAGAAACCAAACAAATAAACTACAAAGGAAAGAAACCAAACAAGACAAACAACAACAAAGAAACCAAACAAATAAACAACAAAGGAAAGGAACTAAACAAAACAAACAACAAAGAAACCAAACAAATAAACAGCAAAAGAAAGAAAATACACAAGAAAACAACAAAGAAACCAAACAAATAAACAACGAAAGAAAGAAACCAAACAAATAAACAACAAAGGAATCCAAACAAGATAAACAACAACAAAGAAACCAAACAAATAAACTACAAAAGAAAGAAACCAAACAAGACAAACAACAACAAAGAAACCAAACAAATAAACAACAAAGGAATCTAAACAAGACAAACAAGGCTCCCATAGCTCACGTTGCTCCACTTCTCGTCATTCCGACTCAGAATGAACTTAGAGTACTCGCGACGGTCCTGGATAGACGCGAAAACCCTCCAGATGATAAGGGTCAAAATCCCTATCAACAACACACCTCCGATCACGCCCAAGATCACGGCTGGGTTTGGGGGGGGGGAGAGAAAGGGGGGATGAAATAGATTAAGTGGGTTGTAGGTTGAGGTAGATTCTGTAATTCGAGATAGATTAAGTGGGTTGTGGTAGAGTCTGTAGGTTGAGGTAGATTCTGTAATTCGAGATAGATTAAGTGGGTTGTGGTAGAGTCTGTAGGTTGAGGTAGATTCTGTAATTCGAGATAGATTAAGTGGGTTGTGGTAGAGTCTGTAGGTTGAGGTAGATTCTGTAATTCGAGATAGATTAAGTGGGTTGTGGTAGAGAGCCTGTAGGTTGAGGTAGATTCTGTAATTCGAGATAGATTAAGTGGGTTGAAGTAGATTCGGTAAGTTTGAGGTATTTTCCTTGAGTTGAAAAAGATTAAGTTCAACGGAGTTGAAAAAGATTAAGCACTTAAGTAAGTTGAATATATTCACTGAATTTTGAACAGATTAATTAAATTCAAGTAGATTCAGTGAAATAAAGTGTATTCAGTAATTTGAAATGTATTAGGTAGATACAGTAAAAGTAGATTAGATGTATGTGGTAAATTGTATTTAATAAGATCATTGGATTTGATAAAATAGATTAAATAGAATGCAATAGAACAAGTTGATTAAGTAAGATAAAATAGATTAAATATATTAAATAAAATAAACTACATTGATTAGGTAAAATAATAGTAGATGCAATAAAATAAATAATAGAATAAAACAAGTAATAAAAAGCAGATTAAACAAAACTATATAAATAGATCAAAGAAATACACACACATACACACATTCACACACACACACACATACACACACACACACACACGCACACACACATTCCCACACACACCCACACACACACATTCACACACACACACACACACACATTCCCACACACACCCACACACACACATTCACACACACACACACACACACACACACACACACACACACACACACACACACACACACACACACACACACACACACACACACACATATATATATATATATATATATATATATATATATATATATATATATATATATATATATATTCAGTATAACATATCAAGTCCAAAATACCTAGAATGTTGACGGGCGCCGTGCACTCTTTCTCCGTTTGGACTCGTATGGTTGTCCGTCCGCCAGCACTCCCAGGAGTGTAAGCGAAGATGAGGATGCAGTTATCATCCAGAAACGTACATCTTTTCTCCTTTTCGCTGTCAACTGTATTTTTTTTTTTTCATTATTCATTTGATTAAAGGTGATTTGTAGTTATTGGGATGTATAATTGAAGAAAATTATCATCGTGTTTGGATTTATTATGAAGGAAAAAAAAGTTTATATAGTTTATATGAATTGGAACTGTACATTGGATTCAGATTCTCAAATATATATATTGTATAATCAACAGCAATTCACAACTTAAAAATTAGTAAAAAGTGCAATATCCTGTATATCAGTCATCGACCGTTAATAATGACGATATGACTTGAGGTATATCGATTGCAACTTACCCTCTAGTGTTTCATGCAAGGTGATGTTATATTGAGCACAGTTAGTCTCGCATTCACTGGCATCATACGCTCCAGTCTGGAACGCATGGCACCGAACACAGGGGATGTATTCTGTGCACTTTCCTTTACATGTCTGTTTCGCGAAGAGAGAAATTTGACTTGTACAACTAACACTGTATCATAGGTAGAAATGCGAATGGAATTTTAAATTTGCAGCAGTATGCTTAACGACGAATTGTAACTTTCCCTGTGGCAGGCACCTTCTCGCTCTTCCCCAGTATTTCTCTGACATCCAGGGGCGCCATTGGGGGATTCTTGCCTGCCCTAAGCTTTCCAAAGAGGTACCAAATGAGCTAAACATATATAGTGCAAAATGCTGAATGTTTGTTTAGTATTAACATTTTACTATTGGCATTCTCTCCCTTTCTCACTATACGCGTGTAAAAATCTGTTTTTGGTACATGATGGGTGGTGAGCTTGGTAGCAAAAGTGGGATGAAGGAAGCTCATCCTATATAAAGTTGGGTGAAAGGAAGCAAGTGGTCACTAAGCCTCTAATAATGTTCTCTTTTCTTTGGATCTATGGAAGGTGGTAGTGGGTGAATACATAACCTGAGATGACGTGACATGGCTCATGGGTGCAGGGGTCCTGTATGTATATGTGTATATATGTGGATGATTGTGTTTATGTGCATGTATTTGTATTACACATGCCACCTAAAAGGGAAATGAAGGAAAAAAACTTACAGGACAATCTTCACAATATTTGCCAGTGTAGTCGCCTCTGCAAGTGCACTTGTTACATGTGCATGTGCCATGACCTGAGCAGATCTCGTCCATGTCTGGGAACAGTGGTTAACATAATTTTTTCTGGACTACATCTATAAAGATAATTCATTTTTACATGACTTTATTGCAAGGAATATATTATAATCTTTCCTCTGCGACTGGAAACGTGAACCTGCCTCACCTGGGTTCTTGCACTTGTCGTCAGCTTCGTCACAAGAGCACAGGCTGCCACTCCAGCCGTCATCGCACTGACATTCGTTACACTCACAAGTCCCGTGGCCTGAGCAGGTTAAGCCTCCGTCGCCGACACATTCTTGATAATTGGTGCACTCGCAGAAATCCCCATAGATTTTCTGTTTTTGATATCAGTGGAATTCAGCTCACATCAATGGAATGAGCCTTCATAGTACGTCAGTTTGCAATTCAAATTGGAATTCAGATGTACATGTCACATTTTATTTTTGTTTACATCAAAATTCTCACCTGATTCGAATCTGTTGGCACATTGCAATGGCACTGCCCGCACTTGCACTGACCACGGTTGCTGCATATTGCAGAGGTGTTCGTCTGTCGGCACGTGTCTTCGCTGATGGTGCCAGTGCTGTCGACATCATTGCATTCACATGACTTTCCAAGGAAACCTTCGTGGCACTCACATACACCACACTTGAAATCGCCGCTCCTGTTGCATTCATCTGCATTTGCAATGTAACCCTGGAAATAAATGGGGTACATTTGCATTCTATATTCTATTTTTTCTGAAGTCATAAGACAATTCCAAAATTCTTATCAGATCACGGAAATATCCTTAAAATGCACACCTTATCACCTGGCTTATCACAGGTGCATTGGCAGTGCATTGCCAGGTTGATTTGCAGAGACCCCTGTCGACCCACAGGATACACATCGATGACTGGATTCCAATCTTTCTCGTTGTCTGGGCATTTTGTGGCCTGTCGAAGTATTCTGTTTATTTCCCCCAACCATTGCCATATCTCATGTTTCAGTCAGCAAGGAAAGAAGCTCAGTAAGGAAAAAGCAGAATGGAATGGCTACACAAATGCTCTCCTTACCGTGACCTCCACCAGGAACTGGACCTCGTCCCCGGCAACGAGTCCCTGGCAAGAGGATCGTTCCTTCATCTCGCCGTCCTTGCACTCGCTGAAGTAACGCACTGAAACGTGGGCGTTGTGGTCTCGCTCCGTCAGATCCACTTTGCTTATGATGTCCTGTTGGTGAGCGAGAGATCAGTTAATGCTACAAATAGCTTTCATTGGCATAACATAACGAATTTAGCATTGTAATACGTACCTCAAATAGCATGTAATCGAGGCATGCACATTGAATGTTATCTACAGACCTTAAGACTGCTGGTGAGGAGGTCAACCACATTAGAGGAGTCGCTCGCCAGCACGCCAGAAGACGCGCCCTCTATGTGCTGCGAGAGGCGAGCGTAGAGCGGTTCCTGCTCGGCTGTGATGGCGAACACCAGGTTGATTCTGTGGATCTTCGCCATCTCGTTGATCTGGCGGGAGGGGAGACACAGACGGAATGTGACTCTTAATGAAGTGCATCACAATATGCTTTTTTTCAGTTTTTGCATGCGTGGTGAAGTAATGTACAAAATACAAACAGTTACATGTAAAAGCGCTCGTGCTCAAAATGTATCAAGATATAATACATTAGAAGATAAAGGTGGACCATAGGATAGGTAAGACTTCTTATTGCTGTCCGATGTTAAGAATATTACAAATATCATAGAACAGGGGTACTTCGTTTTATGTGTGTTATGGGTGTACATTGTAATGTTAAAACAACAAAAACAACTTATTCTGAAATAAAAAGACATGTCAGTGGACAACAGCTTCTCACCTCAGTAGTGTCTGTCAATAAACAGCATTCTTTTACATTGTACAAAGAAAAACTGCAAACTTATATCTCTGATCACTGTAACCAAACCAGCATTAACACATACCTGAGCAACTGAAGGATAGTCATACTCAATGGCTTTGTTATATTCATTGTTGTTGTCAAGATGGCACTGCTTGTCATTGGGTCTTAAGATACCAGCCAACTGAAGGAATGACAGCATGTTAGTTTTTATAAGGTTATTTAGAGTGTTTCGAGATTGGTTGTTTCCCGATACTTGAAATTCATTATGTAATCAGTTGTAAGGAAATAAAAAAAAACAAACTAATATAACCAAAGAGGCTCCCAACCACTGCAGAATGAAAACAAAAACTGCTGTAGAATCAAATGCTATACCAACTGAAAGAGCAAGGAATTCTGACTTAGTTCCCATTGCCACCGCAGGGCTATTTCACTTAATGCAAAAACACTTCCAAACAAACTGTATGAGTCACCATCACCAGCGAGAGTTACTAAAGTGCTAACATTTGTTCCAGAATCTGGCTCTAGCATGAATATCTGAGCTGTAGTTCAGTCAGTTAGGAAGTATTATGACACCACACAATAAGTTGTGGTCAAGGCTGCATGCATGTGTTTGTATGCCAAGCACATACTAAGCACATGGCAAATTCATGACACAGTTGTAATTACAGGCTGTTTTGCTGCCTTACAAGTCTAATGATGTCAATGGAAGTTTCTGTTCCACGACAAAAATGTTTAGCGCTAATGGAACTCATGAAATCAATACCAAGCGCATTAGGGTTATGCTGTAGTAACTCTCTCTGATTGTTTTTCTTTATTGCTCTATTACTGGCATTTTCTTTACATGGCAAACTTAGCAGGAAAAATGAAATGAAAGATAAATATATATAAATCTGTTAACTATGATTCCTCACTATTGCTAAAAATGGAATGAGGTCTCAGTCGTAGAACAGAGGTTGTATTCCTAATTATTCATAATCCATCGAAGGTCGCTGTAATTTACTTCAATCCTTTATAAATATTAGAATTCTCTCTTGAGTCCAAAAAGAGCAAGTTATTATTGTGCGGAAATCTGTCCTAATAATGTGATCCGTTGTGCAAATCTGTTTCCTCCCAGACCATCTAAAGTTTTACTTCTAAATGATTAGTATGGTTACATAAGAAATATTAAAGGCATTTTCACATTACAGGTTTTTTATGTCACTCTTAAGCCAGGCACAGCATATGATGCAGTCCAACATATTCCACAGTATAAAACGTATATGGACTGGGGATCACTTGACCTTCTATATTTCAAGGTTTTGAAAAATCGTCCGTCAGGCACTACCCACTACCGAAATCCTACCAAAGTTAACTAATGGGAAAAATAAGTAATAGTGTTAATATGTTTAGTTATGAAAGTACAAGATTCCGTTTACAAGTACATGTCGCATATGACATCAATGTTTACAATCTGTGCTTGTTTGTTAAATGTTTCTCTTGTGTGAAACTACTAAATGTGTAAGATAACAGAGATTTATTAAGTTTGTTAAAGATTATCACAATGTGTTGTATTATATACGGAGAGAGCTCAAGTGAGTTTCATTGCAGCGAAAGGTGATAAATGTGTGACTGCCGATGGAAAAATTAATACTGAAGAAATGTCTGGCAAAAGCGAATATCATCTGCATGGGAAAATTGATGATTGTGGCAGATTTATAAGATGAATAGAAAAAAAATGTAATGGGCCATTCCTGACAATGGCCAAGTCACACCTTAACCATTACCAATGCCTTAGAACAGCAGACATTGTGGAAATTATGGGAAAAAAACAAACTGCTTCAAGTTGAGCTGCCATGAAAACTTAAAAGTAGTATTTTCTTTTCCTTTTTTTACCTTCCCATCCCCCGCGAGATGGAAACCAGCGTCAGTAGAGAATATGATCACCCGAAAACTGGTGTTGCGCCACCTGATTTTCTCCTCGCATACTATAGCTTGCATGAGACCATCGAACCCGCCCTCTGGGAAGTCCTGGTTGGTGGCGCCCTTCGCTCGCTCAACCTCCTCCTGCCAGAAGGAGAAATGTAAGTGAGAGATATGAAGCGATAAAATACATGAAAAAGTGGCCATTTCTTTGATATGTATATACTCTTCATATACATTATAAATTAAATTGGCATCATTGGTTTATTTTAGTCTTGGAAGACTTGCAAGGCCTATTGTGAACGTAAATGATGTATTTGTACATAGTTATAGATTTTACTATGCATGAATTAAAGATATTCAATTTTGGGCTTATAGTTTAATACTGCTAGCCCATGTATAGTTTAGTAGGGGGGAGGTCAGTACTACTTTACAGGGACTTGTGGTGACATCTTTTTTCAGCAACTGTTTCTGTTTGAGAATTTACAAAATGAAGTGGGAAAGATACTCAAGGGGTCCACGCTCCCTTTTTCCTCTTCCCTTTCTTGATGCTCGTAATAAAATAATCTTTTCACTGAGAAAAAACTCTTGAATGAAATATACAGAAAGACAACTTTGAACTATATTCTAAGGGACGGCTGCAACCAGTGGAATTTCCAGCAGTCAGAAAGTGAGGGGAGCACTTTAGGGATAAGATGAATTTAGGAAAGAACATTTGTTAAACGTATGTAATAAGGCATTTTGATTTTGAGTAAAACTATATGATTTACACAACTCTCCGAAAATGATTCTTACACATACTGGCACGCTACATATATCAATGAAACTTAATAGATTAAGGAAGTTTAAATGTGTGATTATAGAGGTGTTGAATTGACAAAATATACTAATGCACTGCAATATCTATCACTATTAGTGATATTAGTCAATCATAGAATTTCTAAAAACAAAATTATGTGCATTCCACGCACTAAGAACAAGAAGAATTATCACTGCCAATAGTAAATTGTACAAAACTTGTATGCATGACTGGTGTTCTTGTAGAAACAAGACCAACCAGTGGAATCTCACATTTCAAATCACAGCCTGTGCACCTTTTAAGTATCGCTCAAGACAAAGAAGCTGAAATGCAGTCATATGTTAGATTAATATGACAGGGA